CTTCTTACATTAAAACAGAAGGTGGAATCTCAAATATCGCTTTTGAGTTAATTGTTTTGCACTCAAGTGTATATCCCATTTTGTGTAATTGATCTAAAGATTGTAACAGAGCCATACTCGCGACGGTCCTGTATACACTTTAAAATAAAAGACAATGTATCAGTTTTGTTTTTGTTTAAGTTAAGAAGGGTAAAATGATTCATTATTGAAGATGTATTATCGTTTTTGATAAAGAACGCAAATTAGTTAGTCTGAAATAAACCTTAATGGGAATTGGTTGTCAGCTTTTAATTATTAGTTTATAAGATCTTCCTTAAAATTTTTCTTTAAATAACTTCATCCCTCTTAATTAACAAAAGGCATTTTATTGTGGTCCCTTAAAGAAGCTAATTCATCAAATATGATATATTTTTCACTCACACATTATTTTAAACCAATCAGTGAGAAGAGAAAGGCGATATGTCCATAAATAGGCATTTTTGACATTTTGAGAGAAATCCATTATAAATATGAAGACACACATATCCTCATACTTATAATGCTTTTATGTGTATTAGAAATTATGGTATTGTGGAAAAAACGGATAAGTCCTGGACATTTTCACTTTTTCTACAAAAAATATGATGCATGTCTATTCGTACCAATATACATTTGTCATTTGTCACTATGGAAAGTGTACAAGGTGTCCCTTATTGAAATATTGACAGCTGCCCGACGGCAACACTGAAAATAACAGGAGAAAACCACATAAACACTCATTTTCGTACAGAGTGACAACAAGTATAGAAATTTATTCTGTTTGTAAATCTGCATTTTTAAGTCTGCATGCTATAACTCAACACAGAGTAGGTCGGTTGATAGAGTTTTTAGAAAAAGGACAAGTACCTGTTGACATGAGAGGTAAACAAAAACCAGCTAAGTAATGCAAAACCTGAAGAAATAATCAATAGTATAAAAGCCCATATTGAGTAATTTGCTCTCAAACTAACTCACTACACTGGACGCGAAGTGAAATATTTGAATGAAAAACTAAATATATAAAAATAATGCAGTTGATATTTTCGGAAAAATTTCCAGACATCCCAGTTAAATATGGATTTTATAGAGCTGTCTTCATGATTTCTATCAGTTATGCTTCGGCAGGCCTCAGATTGACATCTGCAGCAAATTGGAAGAAATAGATTTAAAAATAAAGTCCCAATATCTGAATGATAATGCTAAGAGAGTAGCAATAGCTGAAAAGATGGTGCATGTATGTCGACTAACTTATAGTTTACAGTGGTAAAAGCTACTTCTACTTATATCCCGAAGGATTACACAAAAAGATCCCTAACGAGCTGTGTTCCTTCATAATGGATTATATTAAAACATGTGTATCTAAGGAAGTGAAACACTTTCACATTTTCTCTGATGGAGATGGAGGTTAAAACAAAAACCACACAGTTTTAAGGTTCTCCAGAGCCTTCACAGACTTTGGAAGATTTGAAACAGTGAACCAGTACTACCCAATATGTAGTCACTTGTTCATACCTTGTGATTTTAACTTTGCTGTAGCAAAGAGAATAATAAAAAAGGCTGATAGGATTTACACATTAAAAGAGTATGTAGAACTCATAACTGCTAGTACTAAAAGAAGTTTCACTATCCATCTGATTGAGAATGATAATAGTATTATCAAAGATTATAAGTCCTGGTGGGCTAGATATTACAAAAGAAATGTTTTATCACATGGATCACTTGGTAGACATATTCCCAAATAACAAAAAGTTTCTTTTTCTATCAGCAAGTTCATGCACTTTTCTTGTAACTCTCAGGCAAAAGGTCAAATTGTTGCTCATGAATTTATTGATGGAATTGTTCACCATACAGTCCAACATTGTAGTCCGAGAAATGTATTTTAGGATTATATCATAATAAATAATCCTAAAATAATATTGTTGTCTAAAAACCTGATTTGTCCAATAAATAAATATTTATTTTCTGTCCTCTGATAAGATTAGTTGCCTTCATTAAATTTTGTATCAATATCAGTGATGGATTGCTCCATAGAATGGTAATTAAAATTGTATTAAATACTGGATAGTTTTCAATAGAGGAAGTTTTTCCTCTAAGGAAGATTTACTGCTAATTTCATTTTTGTGACATGTCCACTTTCTCTTCCCACTGATTCAAATAAGACTTTTGTTTTCTACATTTTAAGAGATGTTTAGGTAGATTGTAGATCTCAAAGGGGTCATTTTATCTTATAGATTTTCTACACTGCTATGAAAGATCTTTTGTGTATGTCTTTTTTTTAATCCAAAAATCCAGGTTTATATAAAAGCCTATTATCTATTTCATAGCTATGTTTGCTACCTAATCAGTTTGTGAAAAGACCTGATTTAGATATTTAAGGCATTGGTTAATAATTAATTTGCAGTTGCAGGCAATATGTTGCAACAAACACCTAAAGGTGGAGGAAAAAAACTTTCAATACAATTGCTTACACAAAAGATCTTCCACAGCATTATGCACAGATATATACTACTACGATTTGTAGTATATTTGTTTTCAAAAACAGTCACTACAGCACAAACTCATTTAACCATAGTGACTGTATTTTTTCTTTTAACAACCAGAATTTTAACTATGACTAAGATTATCAAAGATCTTACTGTAATATTAATTAATACACAGCACAAAAAGCCATCATCTTTGATTCACTCACAGTTTTTATTATGGAAGGATAAGTTTGTATATTTATTCATACCTTAGTTTGATTTCTTACCTGTAGTTGAGCCGACAATGCCAGTGTTTTGATCTACTGCTTCTAAAAACTGCCCAATAACAAGCGGGACAGACTGGATACGTTTCACTTCCTCCTGAGCATGTAAATACTCCTTTTTGAGATTCCTCTGCTCATCTTTAATGTATTCTTCTTGAACCTCCAAAAACTCCAACTGCTGCTGGAGTTTTTTATATTTAGTATACAAATCTTCAGTATCCACATCCTGCAGCACTGGTTTTACTTCCGAAGGACTACCTTCTTCCTAGAAGTGAAAAAGAAGTTGTCGGAATTAATAACACTCAATTTTAAGAATAGTAAATTTACCAAACGCGGTGGAGCCATTTTTCTAGTTTGGTATTTACTATAGTGACAAAAACAGTAGTATTAATTATCTTTGTTTTTTTTTCTTACTTTTTCTGGTATAACAATATCCATAGCCTCCATGGTTGATGACTTGTAATAATTTGTTTTCCTTCTTCAAATTTTGACAAAACAATGTGTCAGTCAAATGTCACATTTAAAGTGAAAAATTTTAAAATCCACATGTTTTAAAAGCCTGTAGTTGGCTGTATACCATATATCAAATTTTTTTATTAAAAATCCTTTGTAAAAGGTATATAGGTATAACTTAATTATATACCTTTTATAAAGGATTTTTAATAATAATTTTTTTCAAAATTTTTACTTAAAACTTCAGAGAATTCACAGAATAAATAACAATGTGCTTGAGTTTACCGAAAGTACAAGCTGAATATAGCTGCAGATGCCAAAATATTTCGGTTTGGCAGTGTTGACATGTTTTTATAATGCATATGATGTTGCTTCAAATATAAAGAGATAAAGCTTTTAAAAAGTACACTTTGATTATCCTATTTTATGAATTCTGCAATTTTTAATTTAGATGAAGCAATAACGAGTAGATATTTGTCTCTTTCGAGAATAATTGCAAACATCTTTTGTAATCTGGCAACTACAGATTTGACGATTGCCAAATCTATCCCCTAATCTATCAAAGGGTAATTACCAAAAAAATTCTAATAATTAACTGCAATTAATCTTCAAATAAACAAATATTTACCCATTGTTGTTTTATATAAATCAAAAATTACAGAATTCATAACATAATATGAACAAAATGTACTTTTCTAAAGCTTTATCTTTTTATATTTGAAGTATACAGCATAGAGAAATAACAATAACTTATTTGTTATTTCTCTATGGTATACAGCATCAACATTATAAAAACATGCAAACACTGCTATACCGAAATTGTTTGTTCCATGTTTGACATTTGCGGCTATAGTCAGCCCAGAGACACAGAATAATAAACAATCAGAAGGGCCACTCTCAGATGCCGCCTTTGAAGTTTTTCAGCACGCGCGCCATGTTTTAGGAGGACACAAACATATGATTTGTGAGGTTATGCAATTGTTTACATTTATGTTTAATTATATTATATTTATGTTATTATATTTAAAACTGTTAATATAATTGTATAGTATGTCTATGATTGCCGTAAGTCAAATAAACCTGGTTTTTTTTCATGCACACCACATAAACAACACTGGTTCCCTTCAAAATCCTCGTAAAACATGGCGGAACGTCTGCGCGAAGGAGATGCGCGTACTTAATTTTCCGTGGAGAGTGGGCATTCTGTTTGTTTATTATTCTGTGCCAGAGATATGTAAGGGAGCCTCTTACATATCTCTGAATCAGCCACAAATCTACATCTACAACACACAAGCTGCCCATTGAAGCAATAAGTATCGCTTTAGCAGGGTAAATTGTTTTTTTTTAATGTTTTTTAATAAACATGTTTGGTTAAAATTTGTCTTATTTGCTATCAGCTAAGAGTTCAATACTCAGCACTATTTTATTCTTACTTTTAGTTGAAGAATAGATTAAATTGTTTCAAATGTATATACTAAATATATTGGGTAAATGAGTATAATATAATTTTATTCACCATTATTGACTATTGCAATATTGGTTCACAAATATGCACAAGATTTAATTAGTTTAAGAGAATTTTGAAACTCCCTTGCATGGCAACACTGCAATAAGAAGCTGTAAGTAAGCTATAATTCAGCCCAATAATTTGTTTTCCAATAATTGTGGTTTATTCTCAATTATGTAATTGTTAAAACTCACAAATTTATTAATGAATATTTGAAATAAAAAATTATATTTGACGTTCCTAATGTCAATGTGAATTATGACATTTAGATTTATTCTTTACTATGTTGTTGACTAATTTAGGTATATAATCACAATAATTGTCAAGTAATTATAATTAAGGGTTATAGTTTTTAGTAACTACTACAAAAATTGAAAATATTTTTGTAAATAGAAATGGATGAAATTAACCTGGATTTGTTGGAGAAGCGTATAGAAGCTTTAGAACTGAAGGTGTTTCCTGCAGGTGATCCCAGTGCTATTGCCAACAAAAATCAAACAATAACAAACATTCTTACACAAGTTCAGACCTTCGTTACCACAGCTCTCACTTGTAGAGAAACAATAACGTCCATGCTGCAGTGTTATGGAACTTTAAATGAATATCTCGACCCAGCTGGTGGTGCAGATGAACTTGAGGTAGAAGCAAAAAGACATTATATATTGCAGTTACACCCTGAGATCAAAGACACCCTACAGACCCATACTCGAATTTTGCAGAATTTACTTCCATATGTAGAATCAGAAAACATTTCTAAAGTGGTTGAAATGACTGCTCAATTGGAAGAAGCATCTGTTAGTCACCTCAATTTGTATGGAGAGTGGAGAGATACAATGTATAAAATGGTGGTTGCTCTTCAAAATTTCACTGATATAATGAGTTCAATTAAAGTGTTGTTCTCCCAACTAGATAATACCTTAACAAGTCTGGAATACTCACTTCAACCAAAATTTGTTACAGAGGAATAATATTATATTTACTGCTTATTTATATATTTCATTGATTATTAAAATTTTTTCTATTTAATTCTGTTCCTTATTCATTTATTGACGGCTATTACTGTTTACTAGAATTGACCTACAAGTGAAATCCTATCCATTGATACGATATCAGAAGTTTATAGAACTGATAAGGAAGTTTTTTAATTAGAGTAGAACTTTATGCTAGAATCGAATTTTATTGCATACCTGATTTATATAAAAATAAGTTGAGGAATAATATTTATTTTTGAGATCATTGCTGATATATTTGACTAATCTGTGGACTTGTTTTATAGTCTAATGTTATTGTCTGAATTCAAATTGATGTTCTGAAACAAATTGCTTGCTATCTACAATTGGTTTGATGTGTTTCAATACTAATTCCTCCAAGGCTTTGGGGAGCACTGGTCTCCAAAGTCTCCTAAACTTTTTGGTCTATGTGATGTTAATGGTTCTGGTGTTTTTCCTGGTTTTATAATCGTAATTATAATTGCCTTTTTCAATTGACATAGAAAATAGTTAAGTGTTATTATTGCATTAAACCAGAGCCTTTTTTTATTGGTGACATTCTTAACTTTTTTGTATATGTAATATTTTTGTCTGGGCACCTCCATTTAGATATATTCATTTAGTAACCAATTGTTTAGCTGTCCATTACAAGTTGTTTGGTTAAAGACTTCTGAGAAATAGTCACTGAGGGCATCCGCCTCTTCTATGTTATTTCTTGCCCATTCTCCAATGTTTTGCATTATCAGTGGAATTGATGCCTGAGGACTCCTTAGTTTTCTTGTGACTTTCCATAATTAGTAGTCAGTGACTCATACTGGCATTAGTTCCTCCAAGTATCTTTGTACAGGATGTTTTTTTATATGAAATATTATTTTTTTAGTTCATCTTGCTATGTTTATATTTATTGTTCACTGTTCTGTTTTGTTGCTAAATTCTTCTTACATTCTTTTCTCAAAAAATTATCTTTTAGTGTTTGAGGAAAATATTCTTTCAATCCTGACTATTTGTAATTAGGTAATTTGAAGTTGGTGCCCATGCAGCTTTACCAGTTCGATATCTGCCAATGTTTTTAATGATATTTTTAATTCTATTAGAAAGCGATTTGTATAAAATTGAACAAATTATGTCAAGGTTCACATATTAAAACTAGATTGGTAGTAGATAAATATCAGTCTGAATGTGTAGGCTCAGCAGAATGGTGGACTAATTTTAGTGCGAATTTCAATATAGCTCAAGGTTCTTCAATTACTATTTTCAATTGCAGCAGTAAAAAATCCAAAATACACCTGTGGCTTTGAATAGGAATTGATCAGTAAATCTGCTCGACCGACGGATGAGTAATAAGATGGAAGATAGGGTCCCGTAGATCGTTCACGCTCTTTTTTAATCTCTCTGGAAGGAGTTTTAAGATGCTATAAAACTGGAATATACAGAATGTGTAAACCACCCTGATCTAAACCAGATTTAGAAAGCTAATAGTGAAAGTTTCAACAGTGATGACGATGGTTACCGTATCCATAAATTCTGGAATTACAGAATAAGAAATAATTATTGTTTCTGCCATCCGCAATTCTTAAGTACGGTAAAGGTTATAGGTAGTTCTTAAAACGGTTTGAGTAATGGATCAATTTTAAATTTTCATTTTTGAACAACTATGCATTTGTCCTTTCAGTAAATATAATAACGTACATGAAATACTTTACGGGATAGAACAGGGTAATTCAATTTATAAACCTCTAAAGCAGACTATTGATTATACGCCGTTATGTTATGCACACATGATTACACCAATGAGAAAATTTATAGGTTATGTTTATGTTTAATATTTAAAATATATTTTAAAAGTTTTGGAAATAATTTACTATTTTTGAATAATGTCAACTCAATTAGGAAAGGTGCTAAGTATAATATTAGTTGAACGATTTGGTACGGTGGTAGAAAAAGTAGGAACTTCCTTGTATCAATATGGAAGTGCACCTTTGCTTCACATTAAAAAAAGAACTGAATTACCCCTTTCAAAGGTACTATATTCAAGTTTTAAAATTTTTTATAACATTTATATGTAAATTATATTGATTTAACTTTTTCAGCTCAAAGAATCTCTGGCTATACTTATAAAATATCAACTTGTAACATTTGTTCCTAATCAGAATGAAAATTTGGCAAATTACTGTATAAAACCAGACAAAGTATTACTCATGTTACGATATCCAAAATATATCAATCTTATAAAAAAGAAATTTGGGGATGCATCGGAAATGATAATAGAAGAATATCTTCTAAGAAGTTATATCCCAGCCTCCGAAGCTTTGATTAAGATCCATGAAAGATTATCAAAAAACAATGAGAATAACGTGTCATTTGGTCAACTAAAAAACGAATTTATTGCCTTAATCAATGCCAAATATTTAATCAAGCTTCCACACAATGAACAAGAAGATAAACCTGTACCAAAATTAGTTTTAAATGAGAAAGACATGCACATACTCCCACCTATAGACGTAAATTTACTTGTAAAAGCAAAAGCTGGCGAGCAGGTTGTGTTCCCTGATAAAGACATTTATTGGCAAATAAACTTTGATAGATTCCACCAAGACATGAGGGATAAAATTATTTTTACTGCATTTACAAAAAAATTTGATGAAAATGCTGGGGAGGTGGTTAAAATGTTGTTACAACAGATGTATATAAGAACTGAACCTTGGGCAGATGTGTCTAATCCTATCCCTATTTTGGAAATAAAAGATATGGTGAAGAAACAGAAGAATTTAAGCCAGTTAAATGCTGTTTTTGACCAATATATTAATGTAATTGGTGAGTTTCTGTTGTTTATTAATTTTTTCCATTTTCACTCTTCCTGAGTTTGCTTTCAGTCTCCTTTTTTCTAGTATGGCACAATTACATGCTGTTGTACTTGTTTCCTTTGGTCTGTCACTATTGACTTTAGTACCTCTGTGATTCTGAATGTATCGTCAGCTGATTTGAGTTTTGTGAGTGAATTTTTTTGTGATGCTGAATGACATGATTTTGATTCTCACTAAAAACAAAATTATATAATGTTGTAAGATATTTACACAATATACACACCTACTTACAGAGAGTATCTACCAACCAAATACCTAGTTAATTTTATTCATGTTTTAATGATATTTGTTATAAGATTAATTCCTAATTTTTCTTTTAGAACAGGATCAGAGTAATTTAATAAGAAAAGCAGGTAATGGTACATTTCAAATTCATTTAAAAGAAGCCTTTACACAGTTTACATGGGAAGTTGTAGAACAATGTGTTATGGAAAAATTTGATACAAAAGCAGCTAGAATATTCAGATTAGTTAGATTAAAGAAATATATAGAACCAGACATGATACAACAACTTGCCATGATACCAGCCAAAGAAGCTAAAAGATTAACTTATCAATTGTTAGAAGAGAATTTTTTGCATATTCAAGAATTGAGGAAGGCTGCCGTAGGTGGTAGTGGTCCTAACAAATCTTTTACTTTATTTCACATAAATCTAGATTTGATTGTTAGAATGCTTCTAGAGTTGTGTTACAAAGCTTTGTTTAATGTTATGACTAGGCGAAACCACGAAAAGATAACAAACAAAAGAATAATTGATAAGAAGCAGAGAGTAGAAACAATTGCCTTGGGTATGAGAGCACAAGGAGCAGCAGAAGAACAGTTAACTGAGGTGAGTAGTAGTGATGTTCTGCCTAGATTTAGGTTTAGTAGGAGTTAAGTTGTCTTTTAGTTTTCACTCTCTTTTGATTTACTTTTTCCGATTTTGATTTATTTTTTCTTTAGGTTTTCTCTTTCTTAAAATATTAATGATTCCGTTTCAGTAGGTGTTATTATTTCCTTTATTATTGTTGTTACTCCCTTTAGTAAATTATAACTCGTTCATCTTTGCCTTAGCTGTTTCTCATGGTTGTCTGCCCCATATTATACCTATTTAGTGCTGGTTTTCTATTAAAATACTGTATAATCACTGTATAATTTTATTTACCTTTTTTTAGATCGAAGAAATGATTACGCCTCCTGAAAGAGAAATTTTAGAAAAAATCGACAGGACAATGAAAAAGTTTAACACAGTGGAATTAGAAATTGATGACACCATATTTTTGATTGAAATGTATTTAATGTATCGGTAACATTTCTTCATCAGTGTGATAAATTTTTATTTTTATATAAGTAACTTTTTGTTATTTACAACATATTGTTATTCTATTCCTTTGTAAGTTATATCAAATTATATAAAAACTAAAATAAATAAATAAAAAACAATAATTAGTTTTTTATTTTCTATTTCTGTAAGATGATACATGCTCCATACTTTGTTTCAAGTTAAGAAAATAACATTACGCTTATGGAGATCAGTGTTGTCAAAACTCTCAGGCACTCTCTTTTGCACGGATGTCCAAGATATTCCCTTGGCTTAATTTTCCATTTTCAATTAACATTTAACTGTAAAGTCAGAATAACTACTAAAGAACCACAAAGCCTTATTATCAATATGTAGTCAGAGGACAACATAAAATCGCTGACCTACGCACACCGTATTATTTTAAATTAATTACTATTTAACTATGAATAAGCCACAATTAAAGATAAAAATACGTTTATTGACGTTTTAATTTCCACTTCGGAAATCGTTCTCAAAATACAAACAGTAAATTAAACAAATTTTGTTTTTTGTTACATAGTGAAAAATTCTTCTAATAATTTAATTTTATCTGACTCATTTATATTGACAATTCAGACATACATTATGCATTTTAAAGTAGACGACTTTAAAATGATATTGCCAATATTGTTGAGTTGCGCTCCTGGGACGACTTTACTTATAAGAACTTCTAACTTAGATTCCATATCTCTGACTCACTTCTGCGATTCTATTCATTAACTCCTGGAGGGCTTCATAACTGTCAGAGAATATCACTGTGTCATCCGCGTATCTGATGTTATTGATACACTCTCCTTCTTCTTCTTAAGTCTCCTTGACGTTGGCGATTAACATGGCGAAACTGTCTCTGTCTCGAGCTATTCTAAAGAGTTGCTCAGCTTTCTTTATTCCTGTCCACTCTCTGATATTCTTCAACCAAGAGGCCTGCTTTCTACCAATTCCTCTGCGTCCTTCGATTTTACCCATCATAATAAGTTGAAGAATATTATATCGGTCTTCCCTTACTACGTGTCCAAAATAGGCCATCTTTCTACATTTGATGTTATCAAGCAGCTCGCGAGCAGCATTTGCTCTCTCAAGGACTGCCACATTTGTCAGCATAGCCGTCCATGGAATTTTTAGTATACGTCTGTGCAGCCACATTTCAAAGGCCTCCAGACGATTAATGGTGGATATTTTTAATGTCCATGCTTCGACACCGTATAAGAGGACTGACCAAATGTAGCATTTAACCATACGCTTTCGAAGTTGAAGTTTCAAGTTATCATTACAGAAGAATGACCTCATTTTTAAAAATGTCGTGCTGGCTATCTCGATTCTACATTTTATCTCTTGATCTGGATCTAATTGTTCAGTAATATGGCAACCAAGATATTTAAAACTGGACACTCTTTGAATTATATGACCATCAACATACAATCGTGCATCTTGATGTGCTAAACGGCTAAACACCATGTGTTTTGTTTTTGAACAGTTTATGTTTAGGCCAAACTCTCTTCCCACTGTATCAATGGCATTTAAAAGGCATTGTAATTCATTCATGTCATCACTTAAAATAACTGTATCGTCTGCATATCTGATTGTATTTATCAGAATTCCATTAACTTTCACGCCCCATTCCAAATTATGCAGCGCTTCTTTAAATATTCTATCTGAATATAAATTAAATAACAGTGGGGATAGTATACAACCCTGTCTGACATCTCTTTGTATTTTACATATTTCTGTTGATTTTCCGTTTATGCAAGCTGTCGCTGTTTGACGCCAGTATAACTTTTCTATGAATCGTATGTCTTGACTATCAACTCCTTTATCTTTTAATATTGTAATTAATTTGTGATGCTGTACTCGATCAAAGGCCTTTTCATAGTCAATAAATACAGCAAAGACGTCTTTCCTTTGATCTCGACTTTTCTGCAGTAATACATTTAGTGCAAAGAGGGCGTCCCGAGTTCCCAGTCCATTTCTGAAGCCAAATTGTGTTTCATCCTGATCTTCTTCACATTTATCTCTGATTCTACTGTGGATGATGCGTAGAAATATTTTCAAAGTGTGGCTCATAAGGCTTATCATTATATAATCGCTACAGTTTTCGGACGTTGTTTTTTTGGTAGTGTTATGAATTCGGACTTTAACCAATCTTCAGGGATATCACCAGTCGAATAAACATCATTGAAAAGTTTGACCAGTATTCCAATGTTCTCCTCATTTATAAGCTTTAACATCTCTGTCGGTATGTTATCAGGGCCAACGGCTTTCTTGTTCTTTGCTAACTTTATAGCATGCAGTATTTCTGATTTTAGTATTTCTGGTCCTTCACCTTCAACTAAAGTCTCCGGTTCTTCGGGTCTGTCATCATTATAAAGTTCACTTATATAATTACACCAGGTTGTTCGAATTTCATGTTCGTCTATTATCATTTTTCCCGACGAATCGGTTATAGTATGTGGAGTTTTCTTATGATAAAGACCAGCTACTAATACATTCTCCGTTAAGTCTAATTCCGGCTTCAACATCCTCTACTGCTTCTTGAAAGATTTCCTCAGAGTATATGTTAAACAGCAAGGGAGATAGCATAGAGGAGAGTTGCCCAAAATGGGGACCCCATCACATTTTGTGATATAAAATGAAAATTTGTAATAAATAAAATATTTTACACAATTATGTAGTTAAAGTGTGTCTTCAGGTACCAGAAAACAGATATTGAGTATTTAACAAAAATTACATAAGAACGGAAATAGACATTTTTGATATTGTGCAAATACCTCGTTTTTCAAGAAAGGGTGGGTAAAATGGGGTAGCTACATGGAAATATTATGATAGTTTTAAATTAAACATGTAATGAAGTATTGAACATTATTATACAGTAGGTTCAGTATGAACAGTATTAAAAAATAAAAATCAAACTATAAAAAATCGCTTATAAAAGTGTCATCATCATCTTCACAGCTTGAACAAGTTTCATGTGCCTAGCCACCACATTTGCAGCACCGAATCCAATCTTCCTGATCGAAAGAGTTTTTGTACATATCGTTGCAAAACAGACAATAGAGGAAATATTTTTAATAAATCATCCCAAATTTTGGCATATGCAGATGATGTGGACCTAGTTGCCCGCACAACACGCAAGCTAGAAGAAATGTATACCTACCACCTTCTCAAATGCCTCAAAATCTATGGGCCTGCAAGTAAATGAGGAGAAAACTAAGATGATGGCATCAACACCCAACAATAGAGTCAGGAACATCGGTCCCCAATTCACGGTTGATAACTCTACCTTTGAAGTGGTTGACAAATTCACATACTTAGGCTCCCTGATCACCAAAGAGAACGCCTTAACGGAAGAAATCAAGCGAAGGATAAAAATTGCAAACAGATGCTATTTTGGACTAAGTAGACATATGAGAAGTAGAAACTTAAGCCAAAAAACAAAAATAACTATATACAAAACCCTTATACAGCCAGTGTTGACATATGGATCGGAGACATGGACCATCTCCAAGGCAGACGAAGACCTTTTGCTTATATTTGAACGAAGGATCCTGAGAGGAATATTTGGTGGCATCTGTGAAAATGGTATTTGGAGGAGGAGATGCAACTGCGAGGTATACCACAGATATAAACAAATATTTGGTGGTAAAGACGTAGTATCTCTTATAAGAATAGGAAGACTAAGATGGGCAGGACATCTAGCAAGATCACAACAGAACAACCCTCCTAGAAGAATCCTTATGTCACAACCCGTGGGAAGTAGAAAAAGGGGTAGGCCAAAACTCAGATGGAAGGATGGTGTAGATGAGGATGGTAGAAAGATAGACGCAGCAAACTGACAACGGTTGGCAATGGATAGGACTGCCCGGCGTAATAGACTTGGGAAGGTCGAGGCTTTTTCATAGGGCTGTAGCACCATTGACGATGATGACGTTGCAAAAAATCCAAAAAATGCATGCTTCTTTATCTTCTTTTTCCTCGTCTTCATTAGAGGACGTATCAGAATCTTCAGCCTGACACTTTTTATTTTTACGCTTATTTTGGATAGACAGACCATTGTTTTGTTTCATTTTCTTGAACAGTAGCAGGACTGTTTCTCTAGTCTTTCTTTTCTTTAATAGAATATCAATGCAAGTCGCAGATTTTTTATTTTTGTTGAAAAGGTCTTTTTTGTGTTTACCTTCTTGTTTCTCTTGGCGCTCCTGTTCTTCGGCCTCTAGTTCAGTCTTGTATGGCGACGATGTTAATATGACAGTTTTACCTTTCATTACGTTTGGAACATCCTACAATTAATTTTCGTAAGAGACTCCAGGTTCGAAAAAATACAAACTTAAATTTCTATTACAAAAATTACTTTTGTATTAAAATACACCAATGTGACTTTAAAAGTTTTATTCAATTTCGTTCGGTGATACAAATTCGACTAGCTAACCCTAACTATTGTATGTATATATTTTTATAATATAATGATATTCGATACCCTACATTCTCACACGAGAGTTATTAAAATTAGGTGCATTCACCAGCCCTTAGCCGGAGATTCGATACGCTGATTTACGAGGATTTTTAAAATAAACATTTCCTCTTGTTACTATTCCTTTTATACACGCTCCTTTTCTTGGGGTGGGGGCATAACAATTTTAAAATAATTGAAGTTGCAAATCAATTTCGTCAGAAAAATATGATTTTTCAGCGCATTCGGTTTTCCTTATTAAAACGATACCGAATGTGTATTGAAGAAAATGGGGGTCATTTTAAACATTTATTGGAATATCATATTTATAGGGGTTATAGACTTTTTTGTACTTGTTAATTAATTTCAGTCATTTATTTAGTTGCACGTAATTTTTTAAAGGTTATTGAAAAGGACCGAAATTCAATAAAAAATGTTTTTTGAAAAAATTGATAGGAGACAAAAAAATTTTAAAAATAATGTGTTAAACTAAAGATGCCACAAAATTTATTTGATTTGAACGTACCTACTCAAAAGTTTGGTGGGATTTAGGGCTGCACACCCCCATTAAAATTTTTCTGTGCGC